GTCAGGTTATTTTGAAACACCCTGTATACATTTTCTGTGGTCCTTGGGGAATAATGAAAAATCAAAGTCAAATGAAGAACGCAATTTGGGATTAAACATTATGAATTAGTCATTGCTGTTGGTAAGATGAGAATGTAGATACACCGTCTCCCCCTACCCTCTGTATCTTTATTAGTTGTGCGATTCCTACCAAATTTGGACTGGTATGAACATTAATATGATCAGTTTTTCAGAGACAAACATTATCTTGAACAGTGCCGTGCGTTTTTATTAAAATAAAAAGGGATCGATTTTTCAAGAAATCATACCTATTAGGGATTTTTGTATAGGTAAACCAACCTCATAATAATGTTTCAAACGACCCTATGTTAATTTTTCTTATAATTCCTATGTAGGATTCAAAATAACAAGCACAACTAAACAGCATTTTTACGAACGTTAATAATTATTTACTCGGAACGGTGAGTTCTATAAATATATACAACAAAAATTGGAAATCAGTACCCCAAATAAAACAAAACTGTGAGTGTGATACATCACTAGAAAGGAAATTTTATGCTGATATCAAATCTGTAAAAATAGAATATGGCGTCCATGAGAAATATTGAAGTTGTAGGTGATATCTCAGAAATTTGACATTTTAATGAAAAACTGACAAATCCATTGAAAAGAGCACAAAAAAGTGCTATGGGAATGTTGAGGTCATTTTTTCATAAAATCAATAGTTTTCGAGATATTCGAGAAAAACAAAAATACAAGATTTCAGTTTTTCTCAAATTACTCAAGAATGACTGAAGCTAGCCCGGATTTCTCGATAGATTCTGATTCAACATTAAATTTGCTACAACTTTGCTAATTCAACCGTTTCTCTATCTCTCATAGTTACTGAGATCCCAATGGTGAGGATCGAATTTGGGACACACTGTATATACAAGGTGTTTTTGAAATAAGTGCACATATTCAGCACATCAATATGATACAGTCTAAGGAATAATCCCATGATATCAGATTTTTTCTAATTCTGCTGATCAACGAGAAATTTCGCCACCTTAAAACAATTTAAATGATTGAAGTCCGCGTGATTGTGCCTACCGCAGAGAAATTTGAACAGAGGTGACGTCAGATTTGCTCCTGTGTAGAACTTTGGGTGAAAAAAGGGGTCAAACCTCAAATTTTATTTTGATCCCAAATTTTTTTTCAATAGTGCCATTTGAAAGTACACGTCGAGCTTTCTCAGTATTTGAAATATTTGCACTTATTTCAATGCCACCCTGTATATATCTTTTTTTATTTCAAATCAAAATTTCCTACCTGCCAGCTATTGGACACTCCAAAATTTGCAGTAAATATGAATTCATTATTTTTCCGAGGCATAAAATTGAAAAAGATTCTATCAATTCGAAATGAGTGAATTTTTGCATAATAATGGAGATTCAAAAGCATGAGGAACAATATTATGATGTTATTTTTCCTGTAAACAAGAAACATATTATTTCATGAAAAATCGACCCTTTTTATCACACTATAAATGCTCAACACTGTCCTAGATGATGTTGGTCTCTGAAAAATCGATCGTATTGACGAATGACGAATATTAATAACAGTGCACATGTGTTAAGAATCGCACTACTAATAGCTGTACGACGATAATAATGTGTACCTATATTCGTATACATATAACCCAATGACTAAGCTAATTCAATTTTCCCAATTAATTATTACCATTTCCGAGATAAAGGACTAGGACACTAAGTATTTGAGCAACGTGGTCAGTTCCAAAGGTCGGGATATTCAATTTGTAAATATTCGTGTTTTTTTTATCATATTTTTCCACATTTGATCCACAATAATACAATAATGGAACATGACACCTTGGTTAGTTATTATCATCCATAAAGCACCTTGACAACCAATAAATGCATTTAATATGTTGAATAAAACATAATAATATGATAACAATTTACGTTTTTGATGGAATATGATGGAAAATAATTCAATAATAATATTTTTTTACAAATGCTATTTATTGAATGTTGATGTCGCTTTGACTATTTGTTTTATCAATTAATAATACAAGATACAGGCTCTAGATGGAAATAATCAACCAGTGTTTTGTTCTATCTTTGTGTCATTAGGGTGCAAATCAAATTTTTGTTTTGTTTTTGGATGTATGATAAATTGTTTGAAAAAGTCGAAACTTGAATACCGTATGACTGTACTGGGGTATGTTTGGCTTGTGCAAACCAAATGTGCTACCTTCTCATCTCAGTACACTTTCATCGACCTCTGGAACACCCTGTATATATATTTATGACTGTATACATATTAACAATCGAAACTTTCTTGTGTGAAAAAAATTTGATAGGTACGTTTTCGATATTTTGAATAGGTACTCATTCAGAGCTGTAAGTAGGGTGCGACAAACGAGGTTCATGCCATGAAAGACGTATTTTAATTGGTTAGATTTGGTGTTTTCAACGTGACATTCAAGCGAATTTGAATATGAGTCGGAAAGACATTTCTAACTTTCAATCTAAGCCAGGAGTTAGGAATGTTTTCCCGTAATTTTCATGTCATCTCAACGTCAGATGTTGACTTTGGCTACCGCATTTACTGATCTTTTCAATTGCTTTATTTTTCCTTCAATATGAACTGAATAACACTACCTTCATACAGGTTATCGATGTGTATAAAATATCAACGTTAATTCCCAACAAAGGAATTCAGATGTGAACGTGGTTTAGTTGCTTATCACTTTTATCCCGTAGTTAGGTAATGCAAAGCACAATTGCAGACACCAATAGTAATTTGCCGAACGTGGCTGAAATTATAAATTATAAATAGTCGAATAGTGAATAATTGGAACTGGGGTTCCATGTTCGTTTTGAATGAGACAATAATATTAGCACATAATATAAAACTTCTAAATGGAATTAAAAATCATCAGATGTAACAATAGTGTGATAGGCTACTGAACTGTTATCATATTTTACAATTACATTGTATTCATAGAGACCTCAAAATATTTTTCACAACCATTCAAATATATTTTTATTTTGAATTCTGAGCCAATTCGCTGTTCGATGTTGAAGATTATGGCGTTATTCGGACAGGATGTGCCATCCCGCCATCCGATATCAATCTTGATGACGTCATTTGTTGATACTACTACGCCAGCCTCACCAAAATTTGGATAAGCTCGGCCAAACCGCTGCTAAGGCGAAAATTATAGTTCAGCTCTTTGGAAATTGTCATACACGAATATTATATCATTCAAAATATTCCAAGTGGCATTCACTAGTCGACAATTGAACGTAATGCACATTTTCATTCTATGGAAGAAAGCCATGACTATGTATCATTGCTTCATGAGTACCTAAAATCGGCAATACCTATCCACGTACTATGGACACGAACATTCAGTAAATATCTGTTGATAACTCGGCAACTGCGCTCTGCCCTGTCTAACTACAAGATGCACACTTAATCTCCTGTGGTGTGAATTGATAAGCATCTAATACCACTATGAAAGAAGTATTATCCAATGGACAATAAAACAACTAGGAATCCCTACAAATAGTAGGAGAGCAATACATTATGATTCATGAATGTTTATAGCCAGACAATTTCTTTCATTTCCAGATGTTCTTTGACATCTAGCAACTATGACGATACCTAAAACTATTCCGAACATTTTTGAAAAATAATGAGATTGAAAGCATTAGTAAGAAGATCAAGAATAGAAAATATCAGTTCACTAGCTAATTATTGTTTGACAGAATTTATCATCAGTACACGCGCATCTTTTTGAAAAGTTTGCACATATGGGTGATCATCCACTTTGTTGTCTTATTCACAAATATCGGGTGACCAGTTATATTCTAACCCATTTCAAATACTTATATCTCTGAAACCATTCAAGTTATCGTTGTGCAGTTTGGACTAGTCTATTTTGATATTTTTCAAGTTTTTTTGACAGGTTCACCTTCTCTCTTGAACTTCCGGTTCTACCGGAAACAAACTAGCCATTATTCAGGTATAGGGCAACTTTTTTATTTCATCGAAGCACCCTGTATATTTTTGCACATTCAGAAAGACTGGTCTTTTCTCTTCCTAACAATGTATAACAAGTTTTGTTTTCTTAGAAAACTATCAGAGTTATAACTCTTTGAAGCATCTACTGCATATTAGGATGTTATCCTGAAATGCTGAATTACCGTATATTGAGTATAAATCTGATGCAGATTTATGATGAGTTCATTTGCTTTTTCAGTCAAAGTAAACATTTTTTCAATTCGAAGAAAGTACAAATGCTCGACAATCTTTATTTGACACATCTAATCTGGCATTTCATGTGTTGTGATCAGGATTTCCAAAGACGACTTTGGTTACATTGCAAAATCTCATTAAACCATTCCACATGCAGTAGTTGTTTCAAACAGTTATAACTCTGATAGTTTTCTGAGAAAACATAACTTGTTATACATTGTTAGAAAGAGAAAAGACCAGTCTTTCTGAATGTGCAAAAATATACAGGGTGATTCAATGAAATAAAAAAGTTGCCCTATACCTGAATAATGGCTAGTTTGTTTCCGGTAGAACCGGAAGTTCAAGAGAGAAGGTGAACCTGTCAAAAAAAACTTGAAAAATATCAAAATAGACTAGTCCAAACTGCACAACGATAACTTGAATGGTTTCAGAGATATAAGCATTTGAAATGGGTCAGAATATAACTGGTCACCCGGTACATATTCCGTTTTGATAGTCACTGATCAGGGACGATCGTACAATCCCTCGACTTAAAAGCCACTCCTGCATTATTGAGACGGTTACCCTTCGAGTTTTTTTCACACAATACAATTTTTTCGCAAGCTGCTCATATAATGAATCACCCTACAGAAGAAAAATCCTAATAATTTCCGATTTCTAGGTATTATGTGTGCTGCTCATATAATGAATCACCCTACAGAAGAAAAATCCTAATAATTTCCGATTTCTAGGTATTATGTGTGGGTAGGAAAACCTCATCTTGCACATGCCATGTCAACGTCAGCGTCAAACCGCGGCACCCGTACCAGCAACTTCTCAACCACAGAATCAGGGGTCAACACAGATTACCGCTTGAGTGATATACGAAATGTAAAAGAAGAAGAAAGAGCCCTGAACAGACATTGAATATTTTATTTACTTACTGTTGTACTTATTTGCGATTTATATACTTGATATGTATGTGAAATCTATGATACGCTGAATATTTGTTTATAGCACGCCGCATCAATGAATGTATATTCATATATCTTCACTTTCGAACCACAAATCATTCGAAATCTATTGAAATTTAGCCTACATTGCATTGATTCATTATTGTAACTACAAGTATTAATGAAAAAACCAAAGCTGGCATGGTATGAAAATGTAGATTTATACAGGGTGAGTCAATAGTGTGTTCTCCTTCGATATTAGCCAAACCGTCAGGTATATAAAGAAAATTCGAATACAACAGTTATAGAATTTCATGACAGCTATCACCTTAAATTATTTTCATATCTATAGGATGTTCGAATTCCAAGATATCGGTATTTTTAAATGGGACACCCTGTATATTATTGCATTTTTAAATTTTTCCTGAAGAGCTGATTTCATAAATGCATCACACTTGGGGTGTAGCGGAACTGATTACAGAGATATAGGGTGTTCAGAATCGAAAATTATCAGATTTGGGATTTTTTTGTGTCAGAACTATTAATTATTGGTCGAAACGGCTTACATGTCCCTATCTCAACGTTTGATTTACTATCTACTGAAATTGAATTGGAATAGATACAGGGTGATCAGAAATCTTGAATTTTGAACCACCCTGTATTTGTTCCATTTAAGTGTCAGTAGATGGTGAATTGAAAGTTGAGATAGGGACATGTAAGCCGTTTCGACCAATAATAAATAGTTTTAACACAAAAAAATCACAAAGTTGAAAAATATAGATTTTGAACACCCTATATCTCTATAAACATTTCAGCCAGTCCCCAAGTGCGAAACATTGATGAAATCAGCTCTTGAGGAAGAATCTAAAAATGTAATAATATACAGGGTGTCTTATTTGAAAACACCCATCATCAACCAATATCTTGGAATTCGAACACCCTATATATATGAAAATAATTTTAGGTGACAGTTCCCAAGAAACCATATAACTGTTGTATTTGATTTTTTTCTATATATTTGACGGTTTGACTGATATAGAAGGAGAACACACTATTGACTCACCCTGTATAAAAATGAAATTTTACGAACATTATCTTCCTCAAATCAACAAAGGTCCTTTGGCTCATCTGAGTTCTCTTCCATTATATGCCAAACAAACTGATTCAATATTGAATATTCTCACAATTCACAGTTTACTTGATAACAACAGGAATAAATGTACTTAAGGATAGCATTTCTGAAGAGCATCACAAGTTGTAGCCGGGGTGAGTTTGAGTCATTACACTTATTAATTTTAAGTTTTATTTTTGGATCCTGTACTATATGTTTTTGAATATAAAATTATCGATAGTTTTGAGAGTATTTTTTTTTTCATACGGCCTTTTTTATGGGTGCCTGTTGGTGCCTTTCAAGTTACCTCACAACAGTTATCATTGCAGTTAACAAAACCTGTTGATTTTTCGAGTCCACGTTATTCCGATTTCAGCAATGGGCGTGTACACCTTAGTAGAACTTTTTACTCAAACCATGTTTATAATGATCCTTTTATACATAAATAATGATTGACGACATAATTCGATCGAGAAATTAACTGGAATGTTTTATTTTTGGACATAAATAATGGTACCTTCTGAAAACGGACCCTCTCATGACGTAGAAACCTCATCTCGCCATACTTAAAAGAAAATACCAAACGCCCGACGGAGACTGAGGCAACTGATATATTAATTCTTTCAACTGTGATCTCGCGCTAATTCATTCTGTCAGAAATCATGTATCATTCATCTCTGTCTGGAATAATCTTGTTTCAGTATTAGGGTTTTGACGTCACATTATCGCCTCGTTTTCAGAGGTCCTAAAAATCAGGGATTTCAATAATTTTTTTAAAACGTAGGGAGCTCACAGCAAGAAACGGTTTGCGGTGGTGAGCTAGTTTGGGTGAGTTCTATCGAATAATGAAATACATTTTTTTTGTGATATAAGCCCATTGTCAATCAGATATTGAAATTCGTGTACTTAGTAATTTTCATCATGATGGTTTGGTATGGTCATTTGAAATCTTTACTGGAATATATCTTGATAGGGGCCGTATTCTCGACGGTTGAACTTTTGATGCATATGCGCACTCCGAGAGTTTCGTACGTTCTGATATTCTTGACCAGTGAAATTTGAGGCGTGTACGTTTTCAAGGCTAGCGATTAAAGAGAGGGCTTCATTTCATTCGTTTTGTATGTTTTCGTTCGTTTTATTGACTGGTGACGCGTGTCATTGGATATTTTCATTGTTTATTTATATTCGAGAACCATTTCGGACACTAATAAATCTTTTTTTAGTTTTATATCACCTGAATAAACAGTAAGAACATCAAAACATGATGGAAGAGGAAATTGTACAGTTTATGTTGATTGACATAATAGAAAATGCGAACCAAATAGATAGGCAAAAATACAGTAGCGTGAAAATCACTTTGATGATTTGAGTTACAAACATTTTATGAAAATGTTTCGCCTCTTCAAAGAATGGGTTCAATACCTGATCAATATTACCTATAATTTTATTACATGACCAGCACATCGTGCTCAAGATTTGGATATCTCCACAAAAGTTGGTACTCAACTTCCACAGAGGAAAGTTAACAAATGGACATGAGCTGCAATTTCAATTTTTCTACGTCCCAGCCTTATGTTTCAAGAGGTGTGAACAAAATCGTTGAGGTAGTGGAACCAAGATGAATTTTTCCAAAGATTCTTCAAATTTCCTGCCAATATTGACCAGTTGCATCGGCTAAGAATAGAGTAAGGTTCAAAGTAATAGGCTTTTATTCGGGCGATATTTTTAAATTTGTGTTTCACAGATTTTACAGATATGATTTTCCAGAGATGATAAGCTGTATTGACCGCACTCACATACAGCTATTCATCCTCCAAAAGTAAATGGTTATAAACATCCTGAAAATATCTATGTAAATAGCAAAAACTACTCATCAATAAATGTACAATTAATTTGTGACTACAATTTGAAAATTATCATTGTGAATTCGGTTTCCTGTTGATACAAATGATGCTTTTATATAGAATAGTTCAAATGCCCAAACAATGCTGAGGTTACATGAAGCTGGAAATACTGATAATTATTCATTATTATTTATTATCATTTAGTGTTACGTTTTTCTGGTCTAATAACTCTCTATTTACTGGATTCTTCTGTGTATATGAAGACTGTGAATAAAGAATAGTATATTATGTACCTATTGATTGAATGATTTATTTCCACTTCATTTGCAATTATAAACACTATAAAAAAATTGAATCTTCGCGCGGAATTTTTCACATATTCACAGAACGTGAATCAACGGACCATTTCATGACTTTCGTGAAATATTACAGTGTTGTCGGATGCTCTGATCGCATCACGATCGCAAGTTTTCAAGCGTATACAGTTTGCGAAGCGATTGGTCGTCAAGAATACCACTTCGAAAAAGTACTCGTACATGAACCATTCTTCTTGATACATATACATCAAAAAGCACACTTGTCGAGAATACCGCCCCAGGTGCAGGTAAGTTTTTTTTCTACAACATGATTCTAGGATGGCAACTTAGTAGATGAAAAACGTACTTAGGCATTTTGAAATATTTATGTAATATTTTGGTTATTATTTTCTATTCGACTGTTCAACCAGTCTCCATATCAAGTACTCTGCTCTGAAAGTTCACTTTACTACTGATGTATTATCAAAAATCACAAACTGTGCGACCTCTGGTGTTAGATCAACAATTCTATTAAGCATTGTCAGCATAGAATTTATTATCACCTCGAGGAGATTTTGATTCATTTCCGATACTTTTTGCACTCATTTTGTGCCTATAACCTGAGTCATCGTTTTTTCAAAACATCAATCAGATGAACAAACCAGTAATAGTTGAATACAGGAAGTATTATTCATTTTCTTTGAACTAAGACCTAGTGTACGGACAATGGTTACACAAACTTCCTTTTGGGGATACAGAATTAGTTATCTTGTTTGATTTGAGTTCATGACCATCCATAGGTAAACTACAAATATCTGGAGAAGACATCAGCAATTAAGTGAAGATTCCAAAGTCATAAGAGCATTCTTATAGGAATGTGCTCAGGAAGCAAAAATGTTTAGGATTGAAAACACAGGCTTGATCCTTTTTGAGTTGAAGGTATTCATTTATACAGTGAGCTAGTAAATGTTGTAACAAATTCGTAGAAAGCTCAATATGGCCTGTGGAGAAAGAAGCTCAACGTCGATTTTTTTTTTGGTTGCGTATTTTTTGGTCTACTCATATTCTTGATGACGTTCACTGTTCGAGTTATGACGTCATTATATATTTTTCAATGGCAATACCCTATTCTGATAATACTTTCAAGAAGAACGAATTTTTCTGTGTTTGGACGACATATTTTTCATTATTTCTTCTCTTGTTACATAACCCTATTTTAAAGAAATGAAATAGATTCCATCTATTATATAGACAGTATTATATAGTAATTTATACTGATGACGTCATCAAAAATATGAGTAGACCAACAAATGCGCTTTTTCCCCACTAGCCATATTAAGCTTTTAACGAATTTGTTCCAACCTATATGTGCTCACTACATGTGTTTGTTCCTGAACAAATTGAAATTATTGTCCAGTATCTCTCCACTACACTTGGAGAAACACTCATCACCTCCAGAATATTGACTACAACTCATTTTTGAAAAGGTTTCATCACTTCGTAAGATCAACATATTTGAAATCTTCATTTCCTATTTTTATTTTCTGAAATATAAGTAGAAAGGAGTTGAAAGTAATGAGAAATAAAGAGTTGACAATACTTGAATATCTCCAGTGATCTGGAAACGATATGAATTGATAAAACTTGTGTGATGCGTTTTTTGCTTTTTGTAAATGTTGATCAATAGTTCATCATCAAAAAATCTCAGATTGATGATTTGGTTTCATAAAATATGTATTTTAAAACTATCGATATTGATATTTTAAAAGATAGTTGTTCTCCTCCACTTCAAAATTCGGCGTTTTTTCAGCGCCATCTATTGGTTCGTAATTTTCTCGATGAATGAGAGGAACATTTGGTATTTATCAATTACATAGTGGAAGGAGAAGATGGTGTGCCTACGCGCATATTATGTGACGTCATCTGGGATATCAATATCAGCTGCTAGTCACAGACAGATACCGTTGCCATGGGCGTGCGCAATGAATTCAATCATGTTCATTGGAATTTCTATAAGTTTCTCGATCTGTTTAGAATTAATTCAATTTATATAAACAGGTACCTATTCCTTCGATTTTACTATTTCATTGATTCTGGAAATTGTGATCTTGATGTAATTCACAATCGCAAATAGCAAATACATACGAATTATCATGCATTACCAATCCCATCTGAATGATCCACTACTGTGTCGATTCTGACAGATTAAAATTCAGCAGTTAACGACGTTGACGTTGCTTCTGCTCCGACATCGACAACAGGAGTATCAATTTTTGCAGTTTTGTTATTCAAATCTTTGCTGCAATTCATATTTTGTGAGAAATTAAGAGTTTTGCATTCATTTTCAATTATTTCTGACTTGATATTCGGAAGATGTTCTGTAAGAATGGCATCTTGTTTCAAATATTTGTGATTTTTTTGAGGTATGTAATTCAAGAAATACGTGCTGCAATGTGAATGTGATGATAATATGATGGGTGAATACTTTGGAATGAGGATATAAGGAATAAAAGGTAGGTACCCTAATTTGAGTTTATATTCTTTCGGCAGCAAGCTCCCATCGTTTCATCAGGTCTCCATTTTTAGAAAAGCAGAAAAATTCAATATATGTGCCTTTTTGTATGTTGGTTGGAATTTCCATAACCAGAAACGAAACAAGTAGGCATTTCGAAATTATTTCATTCAATTTTAGTACTTATAAAATATCTGAAGTTCGAGACATCAATCACGAAAACAAATAATAACAATGACAGTTATATCCTAGCTGACATCATGCGCAGAACAAGACGAGTTTGAGCTTTCTGTTGAGCACACCATCTTCTCCTTCCACTATGATCAATCACCATAGGAACATTTGGTATTTATCAAATACCATATCTGGGTAAGTATACAGATGTGCGCACAAAAAACGGCCCGGATTGTAACTTATGAATTATCCTAGATAGGGTTCTGAAAATTGGTGGGTAGCAAGTATACCAAATTGCTCATTAATTGATGAAACTATTATTCTTCTATCACTTCCAGTTTCACCGGAAACTACCCCAACTTTTGATTTTTAAATAGAACATCTTGTATTGTATTCCATAATCGGTTAGGGATTATCATGACGAATTCAACGATACCGAGTTTGATAGGGTTATTTCAAACAATTACAAAGATATTTGCGTTCGAAGTTTCCATATGCTCAATGGTTGTGACTTTGCAATATCAAAACTTCTTTCTGTCACACTCATTGGGCATATGGAAACTTAGAACGCGAATATCTGCGTAATCGTTTGAAATAACCCTATCAAACCCGGTATCGATGAATTCGTTATGACAATCCCTAACCGATTATGGAATACAATCCCATTAAAAAATCAAAAGTTGGGGTCGATCTCAGTAAAACCGGAAGTGATAGAACAAAAATTGTTTCGTCAATTAATGAGCAATTTGGTATACTAGCTGCCCACCAATTTTCAAAATTCTATCTCGAATAATTCAAAAATTACAGTCCTGGCCGTTTTTTGTGCACTTCTCTGTATGTTGCTTGAACCATCAAAATATCAATAACACCAGAAGTAACTATCCTAATTTCTTTGTTTTATTATTATTTATTTATCTTACAAAATAACGTATTTACAAACATCAATTCAAACTTATGATTAAAACCTCAAGAAAACGTACCTACTTAGGCGAACGCATCTTCTCTATCTGCTCCAGCGCCGTCGCCGTCTTCCAAAGAAGAGAAATTGAGGAAGTGGGCTGGTCTGTGAACCTCGTGATAGAACTCCTTGGGATTCGCCAATTGCAATTCGTATTTCATGGAAGGGTCATGTCGTACACCTAGGAGACATTGAATTATTCAAATTCCTACGTTTTTTGATTTGCAAATAATAATTTATTTATTTATTCATTTATTAACGGACAAGCCAATTATGCAATTTACAAAAAGAAAGTAAAAAAATACAGAGCACGTACATATTATTATATCTATGAAAAAGACTAACACAAAACAAATGTAGAAGGCTAAAACGAATAAAAAGATAAGGATTATGAAATTGTAAGTAATTAACAGTTTTGTATCGCTTTCCTGAAAGAGCATAAAGATGAATAGGCCTTTTCATCTAGATATATTTTTAAGACGCATGCGCTCGTTTTTAGATCCAAAAATTTATTGGGTAATGGGAAGGCGAAGTCTCATTGGCTATAGTTCCAACCCAAAATACTTATTGGCCATTTCGAATATGGCGGGTATTATTGACGTTCTGTCAAATGTCTACAGTGCCAACCACCATGGGCATTCATCATTGAGAAACAACATAGTATTTTTGTTTTTATATTCCTGTTGTGTATTAATTGTATTATAATAATTCAATTCCAAAAAACGTTACTTATTCGTTACTGAGCAGTGTGGTACTGTGGTGTAAGTGTTTCGGTGAAAATGGCCGCCACTGTCGTTGGATGCGAGATGTAAACAGAGATAGTCATTTGTCATATAAATGAAAAGGCCTATTGAACAGTTCAATTTGGTGATTGTGTTTATTTACTGTTTTCATAATTCTATTCATGGATTCATTTTGGCCATAATTCGTCCTACAGAATGGTATCTTAAAAATGTCACTATTTCTGTTTCTTTTAGTATTTGCGGAAAGCGTAGTCAGGGCAACAATTTCAGGAGAATCAATGTAGCCATTGATAATTTTATGGAGGAATAATATATCACTTTCCATTCTTCTATGTATCAACGTATCCATGTTTAAAACATCTAATATTTGTGGATAGTTATATTCATCCCTATTGTGATATGCACAACTCCTTGAACATTTATTTTGACAACCCTCTAAAAGATCAGAATCAACTTTGTGAAATGGTGACCAGATCAAAGAATTATATTCAAGAATAAACCTCACCGGTGCACAATTAATAATTTGAACAGCATTAACAGATAGTTCGTTAGCAGAACGAAGGGAAAAGCCTAGCATTTTACGAGCACGAGATGATGTATCTCTTATGTGATGTTTGAGGATCATTTTCGAGTGGAATATTACTCGTAAGTCTTCGATTGTATTGGTTACTGATAAATTAGTGTCATTAACTCTGTAAAATGTTACAGTGTGTCTGTGTAAAGTATGGAATAAATTCGGTATTTCCTAAATGAAAAGCCTTTCCAAAAACAACTGGAGCACGTCGTTAGTGAATGACATATCATTAGATAACGATAATTTTCTTGAATCGAATCCACTACCGATTTGACAGTCGGTAACGAACGACAAGCTGTCATCAGAACATCGTTTATAGATGATAGATATTCAGAGTATCGGTAGGATAACATGAACACCAAAACAATGAACGCAAAATTTGAATAGATGCTTGATGGACGCTAGTAAACCATTCGAAAGTCCTATGGAGGAAACTTTCGGGAGGATTGTCGGTTACCCAGAGAGCTATTGTTTAGGGGGTATTTTCTCATAATATGTTGCAGCATCCCAAGGAGGCCAGTAGGAATACTAGTATATATCATCAGTTGTTGAAAATATAATCGGAAAGTACCTACGTACTGATGTATCTATACCTATCTGCTGTTACCAAAAATCTATAGAAAGAGACAAAGCATAGGCTATGTCTCAAGCAGATATATCTATGAAATATCAGACATACTTGTAGACAATTACCTCACTGTACCAAATCTCCAAGATATTGTATATGAAAAAATGGGTATGATTTCAAGTTACAAAAAAGGTAGATTGAGAACTGAATTATCCAAAACTCTAAATTATCTCATATTTATTTTATTCTCAAAACCCATATTAAAATAATACGTAGGTACTGTTCTCCATTGGTTTTGATCCCTCATTTGGCCTCTGGAACTATTCAATTATACAACCAAACCACTTCAAATAATAATGAATCACTGTTTGAATATTTTAGCGCTCCAGTGACTGTAAGCAATCCTACTTCCCTTAGAAACATTATTTTCTTCAATTATTATAGTAGAAGACTCGGTAGAAGATCTCTGAGCTATATGATATACATAACGATTGGTCAATTTATGACATATAATGTCACATTATGTCATACTATCTATTCTGAAAATACTTCTTGTTAATTTTGGAATATTTCAACAACATATCTTACAGAATGCATTTCATCATCAAGTCGTTCGAATTGTCGTTACATATTAGGATAACGATAGTTGTTATCTAACGACTCGTAAAATAACGACTTTTTACTGAATTGGCCTGTAAATCTGTACTTTGAAACATGGAGTTCTCTCATCAGTTAGATTCGTTATATAAACTACTCAACACTAATTTCGTCGCACACCAAAATGTCGCCCCTGTTATAATGTGAATAACTTTTTTCAATTTAGAACAATTTGAATTTGGTTCACACTGTTCGATAGCCCAGTCCTTCAGCTATAATCTCGTACTTCATTGAAACATAAGGGTATTCACATAAAATCTCTACATGGTGCTTTCCGACACTGTGCGAAATTTCGGAATATTCAAAAGGCTCTCAAATGGTGAAAACATTTTTTTTCTCAACTTCGACAACAGAGGCATGAAGATGATCTCATTACCTCGAGACATTTCGCGAATCAACTTCCTACCTCTCTTATTTACAGAGTGATCTCAAAAAATCAACTTTCTGGTTTTGCAGCCATAACTTTTTTCCACGTCAACCGATTTTGGAAATCTTAGGCTCATTTTGAAGATAAAACTTCAGATGAAGAGATCTGAATATCAGAATTGACTCAAGATGGCTATCAAAGATCTAGAGTTTTCTTGAAAGTGACCCAAATCTGGAACGTCCTTCGAATCTTGGTTGGGAGGAGATTTGAATGAAAATCAACTTGTTCTCGGAAAAACAACTCATTCTGGATGCGTCCATATTTTCCTCGCTCTCAGTAGTCAAGAATTGTGCGTGAGAAAACACAATTAAAACATGTTCTTGCAAAACATTAGATCATTTCTCCTCTGTAATGCATGGCCCGCCGTAACCAACGTTACAAGAATCACAATGAGTGACTGACAAACCCGACCAGCTGAGGCTCATCATAAATGTAGTACCAACAAGAGCAACAGATTTCGATTTTTTCAATAAAGTGATTTTTTTAACAGTTGTCACGTACATAACATGCGATTTAAGAATATGGAGAAGTATTCAAGCAAACAACGTTTATTTATTGTAAAAACGCATTTCAAAAATGGTGAAAGTTTCACAAAAACAGTTTACCAATTACGTAAAGTTTTCAGTCGCAATAATGCGCCGAACGAATCGACAGTAATAACCAAACAATTCGTGTCGGAGATAAGCCCTTTGAATGGATCGGATTGTCGTGTTTAGCAGATCCGCGATTTGGAGGGAAGATAACCCTTGTTCCCTAATTTGTGGAATCAGTTCCAACTGGTCGGGCGTTAGATGCGGCATCGAAACTATCAAAATCTGTTTATGATTCGAAAACGACGTCTAACCTGACTTGTCAGTCACTTACTGTGATTCTTGTAACGTTGGTTACGGGCCAAGCATTACAGAGGAGAAATGGTCTGATGTTTTTGCAAGAACATGTTTCAATTATTGTGTTTTCTCACGCACATTTTTGAGTACTGAGAGCGAGGAAAATATGGACGCATCCAGAAAGAATTGTTTTTCCGAGAACAAATTGATTTTCATTCAATTCTCCTCCCAACCGAGATTCGGAGGGCGTTCCAGATTTGGGTCACTTTCAAGAAAACTCTAGATCTTTGATAGCCATCTTGAGTCAATTCTGATATTCAGATCTCTTCATCTGAAGTTTTATCTTCAAAATGAGCCTAAGATTTCCAAAATCGGTTGACGTGAAAAAATGTTATGGCTGCAAAACCAAATAGTTGATTTTTTTTAGATCACTTTGTAAATAAGAGAGATAGAAAGTTGATTCGCGAAATATCTCGAGGTAATGAGATCAGCTTCATGCCTCTGTTGTCGAAGTTGAGAAAAAAAAATTGTTCACCATTTGAGAGCCTTTTGAATATTCCGAAATTTTGCACAGTGTCGGAAAACACCATGTAGAGATTTTATGTGAATACCCTTATGTTTCAATGAAGTACAAGATTATAGCTGAAGGACTGGGCTATCGAACAGTGTGAACCAAATTCAAATTGTTATAAACTGAAAAAAGTTATTCATATTATAACAGGGGCGACATTTTGGTGTGCGACGAAATTAGTGTTTAGTAGTTTAGATTAAAGACTAGTATTGATAATATTTACCTTTCAATCGTTTTTGTAATGTGGATTCCCGTAAATAAATAAATACTTGGAACAGATTGAGAAGTGGTAGGAGTTATGGCTGGTAGTGAACAAGAATATAAATAGCTAAAATCGAGAAATCGCTCGACTCACCCATGAAATTGTAATTCCAAGAGCCCTGCGTGGGCACCATGAAGAACCCGAGGAACCTGTCGGACAACAGCATCTGCACCTTCTCGTAGTGGCTGGGCAGATAGCCCTTGGGATTGTTGCCCTTGTCGGTGTTCTGTCTGCCCCACTCGTACCCCGAGGGGGTCAGCTTGTAGGCGGTCAAGCTGCACGAGCCCGGCGTGAACGAGCACGTGATGATGACGGTCTTCTCGCCGTCCCACGCCGGATTGTCGGCCATCAGTTTAGCGTGGGTGCCGATATCCTGCGCGTATTTCACTTTTAGTTATGAAATGAAATTTCAGTAAAATATACAGGGTGTAATTTAACTGATACTTGGGGAGGGACGATTCTTGGGTTTCGCCTATGGCCATAGGCTTTTTCAATCTTAAATAATAGTTGTACATGGGATTTTTTTTTGTAAAAAACTGGTCTGGAAAAAATTGAAAGAAGATCAGTAGGTAGACATTCTTTTTTAATTATTTTAGGTACGTACCTCAACCAGAGCTATTCTTTTTTGTGCATTATTTTGTTTTTTTTTGTTCATTATGATAATTATAATACCCTGCATTGGAAGGTAAGGAAAACGAAAGAATTTAACATACTCAATACTATTTCAATACCATACATAAACGGACTATCACAAAAAATCACACACGTCTTATCAAAATTCAATATAGACATAAGCCACAAAGCACATAACACCACAAAACAATTTTTTACAAAACTAAAAAGCAAAACACCACTATTGAAAAATTCTAATTTAGTATACTCAATCCCATGTAATGATTGCAATAAAACCTATGTAGGAATGACGACACAGTATTTAGAAAAAAGATTGAAAGGACATCATTATAGCACACAAAATCCAACAGCACTTACAAAACACTTAACTGAAAATAACCACACAGTAAATAACAATCAAGTCAAAATACTAACACATGAAACAAACTACTACAAAAGATGTATCAAAGAAATGATGTACATTAGCAACCTAAGTAACATCTATCATACTATCATATAACCAATACTTTCAAATACGAAAAAAACTCTGGCGCCAAAAAAAATTATACAAAAAACTTTGAATTCATTTTAAATAGTCACCACCAATACGAACACGGCTGTCGTAACATCTACCACCACCAACACTGAATAATACAACATTCTATAGTCCCATGTCACATGCCAGAAATCGAATACCTGTTGTCACACATCCAACCAAAAATTACACGATTTTCAAGAAAAAACATTGAACACGTTTTCACGTTTTCCTCACCTTCCAATGCAGGATATTATAATTATCATAATGAACAAAAAGAAAAACAAAATAATGCACAAAAAACAATAGCTCTGGTTGAGGTACGTACCTAAAATAATTAAAAAAGAATGTCTACCTACTGATCTTCTTTCAATTTTTTCCAGACCAGTTTTTTACAAAAAAAATCACTCATGTATAACTATTATTAAAGATTGAAAAAGCCTATGGCCATAGGCGAAACGTTTCAAATGATATAAAATACATAATTATTATTTACCACGAATCCAAAAACCCAAGAATCGTCCCTCCCCAAAAACCATATAGAAGGATTCAAGAATGCATTAAAAAAGTTAACTGATCCTGAAACTTTAGGATATGGTTCCTTAGCTATACCTTAGCTTTTGGGCGATTCAAAATAAGTGATACGCCCTCTTGATGATATTCAAGTAACCAATGAAAAGGACATTGAATGTTTGTTTACATTCAAGCTTCCCTGCATTTTATTAAAAGTTTAGTGTCATTGTGATATTTTTTCCGTTTGAATTCTTCAGTAGAGTATCTCAAATCAATATTGCTCGGTTTAACATGTTAATCATGAGTTTTCTCACTGCATTTCACACAAAATGTTAATTTCAATCAGTGTATAATTGAAAGATATTCTATCAACTTCGAGATTAAATTCAGTTTAATTTTTTTTATGTTCTGGTTCCCACAAAAAGGGATATCCTGTAATGTTCAGAGAACATCGTGATTACCAACGAAAATAAGGTAGGAATTGGTGTTCTTCTTGAACTTCTGGAGGTTATATGCCTCGGGGAACACCTCCCTTGGCAATGTGTTCCAGAGCCTCGCTGTTCGTTGAATGAACGAGTCTTTGGAAAGAGATGTTCTGCAGGTCTCCAAAGTGACCACAAAGGGGTGCGAAGCCTCAACTCGACTGGTTAATCTCGCGGGGACTGCCAAGGGAGGAACAATTGTTGATATTTCAGAAGAGCATCGTCCATGAAAATACCTACAAAATTGAGCCAGATCGCAAACTTTTCTACGGTGTTCCAGAGAAGTGAGTGAGTTTGTGAGCGAGGCATCACCCACGAGACGAATTGCCCTTTTTTGGACAGAATCCAACAGTTTCAGGGTATGTTTGGGTGCTGCACTCCAAATATGGGAACAGTATTCCAGGACAGGTCGGATCTGTGCCTTATAAATCATAAGCAACTGACTGGAAGTGAAATAGCTCCTGGCCCGAAACAGAAAACCAAGTTTTTGGGATGCAATTTTAGCAATTGATCTCACGTGATTTTCCCAAGAAAGGTTATTGCTGATAGTAATCCCAAGCATCGTAATGGATGTCTTCAAAGGTATGGTTATGCCTGACAAGCTTATGTTGGGCACAGTGAGATCGGCTTTTCTAGAGAAAAGGCATGTTTGTGTTTTGTTTGCATTGAAATCTACCAAGTTATTGGATCCCCATTCGAGAATTGTTGCCAAGTCCATGTTTATGTTGTCTACATTTCTCCCTCGAAGTGGAGTTACAGAAAGAATTTGAAAAAATGAAATCCTTACTTAGATGCAAAGCACATAATATGTTCAATTTTTTCTACCAGAGGTAGATCAATAATTATTCGCACATACATCCAGCTTTGAGAACTTTTTCTCTTTCATATAAACACATGTAAGATGAACCGACTATAATATATACATCTCAAATACTCATTCTGTAAACTTCAAAATCATATTCACACCACTTATTTCGCAATATTCATTTTACTACTGAATGGGAACGAAATGCAAACTACCGTGACCTCAAATTGGGGCGTTTGTATTTGAAGTAGTGAAACATACTTTATTGAATGAATATCTGCTGAAAAGCTCCCTCGATTCACAAGAGTACACAAATAAAAAGTCAAAAGTGAAGTTTTCTTTGTTCAAATCACTACCAAAAAATCTATATAATACACACAAGGATATAAACCATTTCAAAACAATGTGAATTCATATAGTACACAACCGGCCATTTTGGCGCTGGGATCTTAAATTCAGTCGCCTAAAAGGTGTTAAAATTGTGTTTCCTCTTCATTCTTGATTGAAGAAACTTTCACAATGTAAGAAACTGTCACATTTATGAATACTTGTCAAGATAAGACCGCAACGTAATCGATCAAATGTCATTATTTCAAATACAAAATAGGGCACCAGCCTAATAGTTCAAAATAATTTCGTTATATCACAAATGCGTGAAAATTATTCAAATTTTTTTACGCGAAAACATTGCGTCGGACGGAAAAAATCAGGATGTCAAATTATTGCAAAATAAATGAGGATTTCAAAAATGTTCATTTTCGGAAATAGCAAAAGCGCACAATAATTTTTCAGAAAAATCTCCAGTATACATCCCATACAGACACCACTGGTAGAAATATTGAAAACATGGGTAGTTACTAGGTGCATTTCATGAAAATATCCGTAACTAGGGTCCCTTGATGTAAATTGACGTATTTGTCATCTTAACAGGGTACGGACAGATCATTGCTCTTTTCTGTCCTCAATTTAACCTAAAAATCTTCAAATGTCAGGAATGTATCTCCATATTTGAACAAGGATGGAACTAAATAACTGTTTAACAAACACTTTAGAGTGAGAGGAGACGAGGATCTGTCGGTACCATGTTAAGATGACAAATACGTCAGTTTGCATCAAGGGACTCATCCAGAACAACATTGAAGTTATGAGAATTAAACTATTTTTTTCTCAAAATTTCAACACCTTATAGCTCGAAAGTTAAGAGGTTTAGGGCATATGTTTATATGAACTTTTTTTCTCAAAATGAGACGAGGGAACATTATTGTAAATTTTCTGTTTATAATTTGAAGCTAGAGTGGTATTGGGTAAGAAAATTTCACACAAAAATAATAATAAAAAAATACTAGGATAAGATTATTCTTAATAAAATACAAAATACCGACTTTAGTTACGCACAAGGCAACCATTATTCTTGACTAACTTTATTCCACTGGTGGAAATATATTTGTTACAAGGAACTCAAGTAGTAGAGTCCGACCACGATAACTTTGGGACAGCACATGGTCGCGTATGCATTGAATATGCATATGCGTTGCGTCACATGCTGTCCCAAAGTTAACGTGGTCGGACTCTATGTAGTATTAATGAAATTCACATCCATAACATTGTTAGGTCAAATAAAACACAATTAACTTACTTTAGTTAACACAAAATATTGAAAAATAGATAGATAGTAGCTCAAATTCTCAGTTTTTTACAAATTGATTTTACTGAAGTTGGTAGGAATATGTTTTCACACAAGAAACTCGAAGTGCTATTTACTATAAATGAAATTTCCTCATGTAATATTATTAGGTTAAATAAAATATAATTAAAGGACTAGTTGAATGAAATAATAAGAAATAAGACCATAGTAATTCAATCTTTTAGTTTTTTACAAATTCATTTAGCTAAAGTTGAAAAAAATATATTTTCTTACAAGGAATTTATATAAAAAAAAATACTACCATAGTTGGTGCCCTAAGAAGATGTCCAAAACTTATCCCAAATATAGCAAATACCGTAACATCCTTAGTAAAATGAACTATCTCATAAATATTTGGGGTTCATGTTCCAAGAATAATTTTAACAAAATATCTGTACTATATAAAAAAGCATTAAAAGTACTGTAACGTCTTCCATATGACACCCCATCAAATCAACTTTATGAAGAAACGAATACATTTTCTTTGGAAGAGTACTATCTGACAAATACTCTCAAAATTTCTTTTGATATCATTAACAAACACCTCAAATCTAACTTCATATTGGTAGAGAATTCTCAAATCCATGAACATCATACTGGACAATATGACTTGTTTCATCTTGATGCTGCTAATTCTACACTTGGTCAAAAAAAGTTCACTCACGGAGCTATCTCAAAATTCAATAGATTACCTGATGATATCAAAAGTTGCACAAATATCACCCAATTCAGAATTGAAGTCAAGAAACATCCTCTTGCAAAGAGAAAATCAAACCTGAGTGAATGATTTCTCATTCACTAATTTATTTCATGTCATAATGTACTTTTCATGAGCTTTCTGTTTATTATTATTATTTTTGAATCTGTTGTTTATTTCGATAATTATGATTTAATTTAATAACGCATGAATAATCTCATACCAGATATGAATCTGTCTGATTATTCATGTTATTTCATTGTAAATGTTAATGAATATATTCATATGAGATGCAATGAAATGTTTATAGCAAAGAATGAAATAAATATTATTATTACTGAAAAAAAAAAATGTTCATATCAATCTACCGATAAACGTAAAAAAGTACATTGTAATTTAATGCTGCTTGCCCCAAGGTGCAAGAAATTCTCGGAATTTGCTTTAGTTGCTATGGTAACAATACAAAATACAGGCTTTTAATTGGTCTAAAATGTTACCTGCGGCGACAGTTGGGGCAGCTCGTTGGGCTGCGTGTGGATCCAGCCGAGGGGCTCCATGTCCTTGAGGAAGGGGTGGCTAGGCGGCGTGTTGGGCAGATGGACTGTTTGATGCGTGCCCCATTGGGGGGCGAGCACCAGGCATCGGAGCTCTTTCACTTGAGGGTTGTCCGGAGGGCTGACGCCGTACAAGAAGGCGCTGATCTGTAAGGAAATATCACTGAGGTTGACTAGTATGTTTTAAGCAGGGTAGAAGCAACGACGCCGTACAAGAAGGCGCTGATCTGTAAGGAGATATCACGGAGATTGGTTAGTGTGTTTTAAGCAGGGTAGGAGCAACCAGAAGTGGAGCAAAATCCTTGAGAGCCGAGAGCCTTATTCTTAATGTGAAAGATGAGAGAGAAATGCATGCTGAAAATTATATGATTTTGCACATTCTGCATTCCAGCCTTAGATCAGTAAGTCATAGACAGGCGATCCCAATATCCAAAGTATAACATAGGTATAATAATTCAAATTAAGACAAAATGTTCCATAAGTGATCAAGTGTATTTATTCAGTTGATTGAGCAACCCTTGACAAATACAGTGGAATAACCTTGAGTTCAAATGACACTAGTGACAGCTCGGATTGTAATGAATAATTGAATAAGGCGTTCATGTGAATCATATACATCATTTAACTCTCTCTTTTCATGAGTCTAACGAACAAATTTATTGGACCTACTACTTAAAGTTAGAACTGTATCAGACCAGGAAATGCAATAATACAAACATACAAATGCATTTGAAGTAGGTTATATCCGCTCTTCATGAGGATTTCGTTTTGTTGAATTATGTATCTTAATAATTTGAAGTTGGTAACCAACGGTCCAAAAGTCGAAACTTGTTCGAGGTTAGAAACTGTGGGACCTACCTACGAGGTAATTCAACTTTGTTCTGAAAGTACTCATTCTCAAATAACTAATGTAAAGGGAAGCGAACAATTGAAAAATGTTATATCTAAATGTAAAAACTTCACAAACAAACAATCAAGTCGTGTGTTTGAGAATTTTGTGGAAATCTTATCGTTTGTGAAGTTTTTACATTTGCCATGGATTTTTATGAAGTAAGGTCAGAGTCAATTAAAAAAAATGTTATATCTGTTGTGCGGTATGATGTTAACAGTGGAGATATAAAAAACAACGACCTACAAGATCGCAACTTTTTCATTTCTTCATAAACCCTTACTAGACAATAGTCTGGTGAAGTTTTGGTCATCAAACCATTACACTACCCACATACCGCTGACGTTAGCGCACATTAACAAAGACTCGTCAATGATGGAAGGAAACATGGTGGGTTCACTCTTCTGTTTCGTCAGAATGTTACTGAATTCGAAGAAATAAAGTGAGATTCGCATATTCATATAACAAATTAACGATTTCGAACTCATCTGAAAAATGATTTCCTGATTTATTAGAAACACTGACATTTGATTTGGGATTTGATATTCGATTTGGGACTTGATATTCATGGCTCTGCATTGTTGCCTGTGAATTTGGTTGGACACCAGACTGACTTTAGCGAGATTCACGCGATGTATGTTCATCGAAGTAGGAGTAAATCAAGTTGTTGTAGAACAGATAGATCATTATTGAAGTTCTTCTCATAATTGATTCGTCGTATCTTGGTAAGAACCTTCTGTTAAATACACGAATGGCTAATACAAAACTCAACAGGATCGTTTGCTGGCAGAATACTTCATCTAAATGCAATCAATATATAAATTCAAAATATAAATATTTGTTCATTCAGTCAAATACAATTATAAACATTCCAATTTGAATTTTAAAATTAATGCTAATATACATTCACATTCAACTAGACAAACAGACATGTTTTCCCTCAATATAATCAAATCTGAATTTGGCAAGAGATGTATATATTACAATGGATTATTACTTTATAATAAATTGCCAACAAGACTTAAAAAAATATCAATATCAAAAAATGCAAGAAAGAACTCAAAAAATATTTATTCATCTGAATTTTGTCATGTCATCCATATTGAGATCATATAACAAATCAATTATTTTAATCATTCATTCACTCAAACAAGGATCAGCTCAAACTATGAGAACTACTATAATAATTATATTATACCTATAAATACACTCAGTTCCAAAAAAAGTGACGCACTTGATATTTGACCTATCTTCTTGAAAAAAAAAAAACAAAAATAGTAGGCCGATTTTTTTGTTTTTATTTGTTGGTAGGTAATGCATTTGTCTTTGAAAAAAACGAAGAGGTGAAAATTTTTTCAAAGCCTCCTTGATGGTGGTGGAATAACTCGAACCATGATTTATTCTCAATTTTTGACTCACCCTGTGTGTTAATTGAGTAATGGTATACAAAGAGCTTACACCCCATACGAAAAAGGCTTCTTTTGCGAGCATTTTGTTTTTCTATTCATTGATTTCTCTAAAATTTTCCGAATTACAGCTTTTTTGCTGATACCTTACGCTTATCCCACAATTAAATTTATTGAAGGATCAGAGTACTCAAAATTGATTGGGTTGAACTCTGGTAGGATCACATTGTCTTTAAAAAAACGAATGCCGTTGCCATAGCAACTAATTTGTTGTATGCCTCCATATTTGACCATTTGTCGTTGTCATTAACTAAGTCTTGTTTTATTGACTAAAATTACATAAAATGCTTCAAATAAATCCTGAACAAGTAGCAAGATTAGTTGCGTTAGTAAACGATGGGCGTAGTAAACGTTACGCCGCTCGTGCAGTGGGAGTTCATGATGCAACTGCTCGTAGAGCAATCCGCAAGTACGAACAAACAGGAAGCACCGCTCGGAGGGTCGGTTCTGGTCGCCCCCGAAAAACTTCTCCAAGAGATAATCGCTTCTTGAGATTGCGGATTTTACGCAATCGATCAAATACTGCTGTAAATGTTCAGCAAGATCTTCGCCAAATTCGTGATGTTGCAGTAAGTAAGCAGACGGTATGTAGACGTCTAAAAGAAGTTAATTTAAAAGCTAGGAGACCTGCAAAAGGTCCCAAATTATTGCCCGAACATCGTGCTGCTAGAAGAAATTTTGTTGAAAATTATGGACAGTGGAATATTCCTGAATGGTTGAATGTATTGTTTACGGATGAGTCAAGGTTTTGCCTTAACATGGTGGATGGAAGAAAAAGAGTGTGGAGAAGAACTGGTGAACGGTTTAATCAAAATTTAATAACAGAATGCGAAAGTTTTAAAGGTGGGTCCGTTATGGTGTGGGGAGGGATTTCAATGAATGGAAAGACACCCCAAGAAACGATAAGCAACTTAATTTCCAGTATGCCTCGTAGATTAGAAGTTCTTAGAGTTGCTAGAGGAGGCAATACACGGTATTAAGACGAACGATTCACCGCACTCGCCTGGCGTTTCTAAGAGATGTCGCTACGGTTAACAAACTGCAAGGTTGGTAGAACTGATGCTTATTTTGTAGAGGAATGTTGCCTCGATCGCACCCCGCGAGTAACCTTGAGTAACTCATGACGTAATAGGCCCTTTCTTTTGCACGAAAAGTGTAGCACTTTCGTACACTTTGTGTATGATATGTACGCCGGCGATTAGCCGGCGCATGTATTGAGTTGACAGTTGTCAGTATTTTCGAATATTTGAACCATTTTGAACTTGAAAATGTAAAAATGATAATTTGTTCAGTTACTTCTTGTTAAAATTCGTACAAGTGTAATAAGACTAGTGAATTTAGTTTGTGTTTGCATTAATTTCCACAAGATGAGTCTATTCGTGAGAAATGGATTCAGTTTTGTGGGCGTAATTTTAATTCATTTAATACCAAAACTTGGCGAATATGTTCTGCCCATTTCGATGCCGAGGATTTTGAACGACACAAGCAGAATTGCTAAATCACACACCAAAGAGGAGAAAACTCAAGGTAGGAATCCCATCAATAATACCAAATACAACAGGAGAAACACCATAAGTATGGAAGTTTGAAAAAATGATCAGAACCAGAGCAGTTGTGAATGTTGAGATTCTTGCTGAACGGGTAAAATGGACATCAGAAGATATCATACGTGTTTTCAAGTTGAGATATTTGAGCAAGAGTACGTGACCCAACGAAGAGGAGCTATGTTTATTTTAGAGATTCCTTGAACTATCCTTTATTAAAGGTTCACTTATAATAGTAGTGTTATTTTTCATTAATTTTTGTTCAGAATCATATTTTATTTTTTTATGCTCAAATACTTCGATCAATTGCTCTGTTTTTGACTACAATATAATCAAACAATGAAATACTATTTCCTCTTGTATTTTTTATAGGTATCTAGGAAAGTTTGTTAATTTTCCAGAATACAGTTATATTGATAAAATAAGTGATCTGTTGTGTATGAATATTGGTCCACTGCTACTACTTCTGGATCATCAGTTGATTATTCTTATATTTTCTGTAGTTTCTTGTTCACATCATCTGATTTGCAGGATATTTATAGGATGAGTAGGTTGATAATCAATGCATAAGTAATCACTAGCTCCATAATTATGCTCCATACCTCAAAACACACATACCTGGTACCACGACCTGGTAAATAGCCCCTGGAACAAAATTTCAGATAGGTATATTCCTCTCTGTACTACTGATCCATCCAAAATTGCCTTCTCATTTCGAAGATTGAAGGTATTATACAGAAGTATATGTAAATATCCATATTTTATAATGGTACTTACTTATAATTATATACTATAAATTAATATAAATATGCTGAGCAGACCATGTTTGTATACTCTATTTGGTAAACATTTCATGACATGTCGCTTTAATGGTTGACAACTTGTTGTCTTACTGCCTGTGACGTCACGAGTGACCGTTTCCCCCCTTGCCGCACTATCGATCGAGGCAACCTTCCTATACAAATTATAATCAGTTCTACCAACCTTGACAAACTGTGATAAACATGAATAAAAATCCAACATCGAGAAACCGATGTAGAATTCTCTTGTTTCTTCATGTTGACGATGTTAGTATTATAAAGATTTTCAACAGGTGTCGCTTCAAATATTTATAGCGCCCTGATACCTAATTATTTCCACATTAATAAAATTATGCAAATGAGTTTTCAATCTAATATAATCCTAAATTACATTCGATTTGATTGAGTGTCGAATTTCCGGATGCTCCTTCCATTTTGGGTTCAAATC